GGTGAGTCAGCGGGAAGAATCTTCCATGCCCAGATGGTCTCATTTTTGGCAGAGTATTCTTCAAGCGACTCCTTGTTTTGTCGTCTCAGGTAAGCATACATTTCTTCCAAGACAGGTTTGGCGCCGACAAAGTTTGTACCAGGATCTGACCAGATTTTTCGGGGATGGCCTCGGACAGAAGTGAACCTCTGGTAGGCAAGCAGGAAGCTCTCTGTTGATAGTGTGCTCGCTAGTTCGACATGAATGGCTCGGCTTGCCATACAGCAAAACACAACTCCCCAAACTTTCATGGTCACTCTTCTCTTGACATCATCCCTCCCATGATAGGGTCCAAACAGGTCGACAGATGTGAATTCGAATGGTGCAGCAGGATTTGACCTCTCTTCAGGTAAGTCTCCCATTACTTGCAGGTTCTTGCCTTTGCCTTCTTGCAGATGATGCACTGGTCAACGACCTTTTGGGCAATAATTCTTCCTCTGACAACCCAAGCCTTCATTCTCATCCGCAGTAAGGTTCCTGCCACTCCGTCATGTCCCTCGCTGTGTGCTTCTCTGGCAAGGAGGGTGGATAACCAGGCTTGGAATGGTAGAAGGGGAACAGCTTTGTGGTCTTTTTTGAAGGTCTGGATTCTGCCACCACAAACTAGAAGTCCACTTGTTTGGTCTCTGTAAACAACTAGTCTATCTGTTGTGGTGCTTGGGAAGTTGACGCCCTCTTGTGCTGCTAGGCAAAGGTCTCGAAAAGCATCTCGTCTCTCACAGACTGTGAGGACACCCGAAGATGGTACTGCCTCCCACTTTTCTTGGTCTCTGGTCTTGGATCTCATGAACTTTTTGGCAACCCTCCAGACCCACGCCACGGTCCCAATCAGCCTTCTCAGGTTGCTGAATTGCCTTTCGTCGATTAGCTGTTGGGTTGCTACTCCTCGTGGTCTTCTCGACTCTACGTGTGCTGAGTCCTGAGCTGCCTTGATGTGGACTCTGGTAAGGACCGCAACAAAAGTATTTTTCTGTAGCTTTGTGACCTTTTCTCGAGCTTGGGCAGCGACTTCTCCGGCGGATTTCTTCAGCCACTCATCTTCAGGAAGTTGGAGAAACTTTGGACCCGACTGCCACTCGGAGTCCTCGGTTAGGGCATCTGGACTGGCCCCTCTGGTGAGAATGTCTGCAATGTTTGCTGACCCAGGAATCCACCACCAATCCTGGACATCAGTGCTACTCTGGATTTCACCAACGCGGTTTGCGAAGAAGGTCTGGAAACCGTAGCTCTCACGCTGGATTGCACCCAAGCCGGTCTGGCTGTCGACGAGGTGGTACCATTTTTTGACCTGGATTCTGCAGTGTCTCTGGAAGTAGGTCTTCAGACGGGCAGCAAAGACTGCGCCACACATCTCTGCTTTAACAGGATCGCCTTTGTGATTGAGAGGCGTCAGTTTGGCTTTGGACTCTACTAGTCTCACAATGACACTATGGCTGCAGCTCCAGCGAAGGTACATCACTGCACCATATGCATGTTCACTGCCATCAGAGAACGTGATGGCACTGGGCTCTGCACAAGGATCTGGTGGAGTCAGGGCTCTAGTGAAATGCAGTTTCTTCAGGTCAGCATACTCTTCCAGAAGCTTTATAGCGTCTTCTCGGAGACCTTCAGACAAGACTGCGTCCCATGTGTCTTCGAGGCAGTGCTTTACTTTTGCTTCTTGGAAAGCTCTCCTTACCAGGATGGCACCCTTTTGTTTGACGGGAGTCACTAGACCGAGTGGGTCATATAGGCCGGAGACTTGGCTTAGCAGTTCTCGCCTGGTGAGTGGATCAGGTGTTTGCTCTCTGACTTCTTCTCTGAGCAGGTCTTGACCAAGGCGCATTTTCCTCCTTTTCTTTGAGAAGTTCACTGCAACCATGACATGAAGCTTGTCATCATTGATGGTGTAGCCAAGGCCTTTGTTGTCATCTTCCGTCAGCTGGTTCGGCAGGATCATAGTCTTTGGCTCTGATCGAGGCAACTCTTTCTTCGACTCCTCCCTCCCACTTTGACTGGAGTAGACCCAAGGCTTCATGTAGAATCCTCCAGCTCTCAGGATGTGCTCAATGTTGGCTGTTAGGCGTCTCAGATGGTCGAGGTCATTGTGTGATGTCAGGATGTCATCGACATAAGCATCTTCTTCCAGCACACGTTTCTCCTCTGTGAAGTGACTGAATGAAGGTAGGTTTGCAGTTTCTCTCATGGCGACTTGGGCTATGCAACCAGCAGGTTTGTCTCCAATGTTGACTCTTATTATGGCATAGTCTGCTATGTCTGCATCTTCTGTGTCACGCCACAAGAGTCTGTGCAAGTGGACTTCTCGATCTTCCAGCCAGACGGAGTTGTACATCTTGCGGATGTCACCAAGGGCGGCGTAGACACCAGCTCGGAACCTCAGCAGGACAGCTCTTATCGGGTTCAGGACATCAGGACCTTTGATGAGGATGTCATTCAGGCTGAGGCCTCTGTACTTCTGGCTGCTGTTCCACACCAACCTCACTGGGGTAGAGACAGAGTGTGGATTTGGCGCGATGAGGTGGCTTATGTACCATACTGGCCCAGTCCAACTCTGCAGGACTTCTTTGGACAGCTTCACTGCAGCTCTGCGGTTTACCATCTCATGAACTTGTGCAGCATAGGCCTTCTTCCATTCAGGTTCTTTAGATAGCTTCATCTCGGTTCTGATGAATGTTGCTTCTACTGCTCTCCTGTTATTTGGCAAGGTTGCTGGATCTTCTACCCATGGGTATTTAGCATTCCAATGCGGTTCACTGTTGTGGTCATCTCCAGTTGAGTAAGTCAGGCCGTTCCTCACGATCTCCATCTCCCTCTCTTCTGCAAGCGTCATTTCTTTACCCCCTGGCTGGCAGCTCCCACAACGACACCCTCCACATCTCGGCTGGCAAGCGGCTCCGATGCTTTCCCACCTCCACCACTTCAGAAAGTCTCTGCTGCTGGTAGCTGTGGTGGATAGAGTCTCAGGGTGATCAGGGTGCTGACAGGAAGCCAGGTCTTTAGTAAATTCTTGGTACTTGAGTGCAGCAACTCTCATTGATCTTGCGAAGTGAGTTTTGGAGGTGTGGGCCATCAAAGTGACTTCCTCAAAGAGGTCTGGATGTGTGCCCCCAATTGTCTTGCCAAGTGGACCGTCCCAGAGAACCAGGTCACCAATGGAACGGATCTTTTGGGGCACCAGCTGTCCTTCTTTATGGCTGATTAGAAGCTGGATCTCTCTGGGTCTGATGAGATCTTGGAGAGGGATGTCAGGGAAGATCTTTTGTAGCTTCTGAGGTGGAACATGTCTTTCCACTTCAGCAATCTTGTCAAGACCATAGCAGACTAACTGGTGAGGCTTTAAAGTTCCTTTTGAGGTGTTGACACGGATCTTGAGAAGGTAGCGCTTGGTTGCCACAGACACCTTCATACCTCCGATACCCTGGATGACAAGCATGACGTCTTCACTTCGAAGGTTGAGCTTACTTGCAGCTTTATGGGTTATGTAGTTTGTGTCAGATGCTAGATCAATTAGTGTCCCAATTCTCTGCCCATCATTGGCGATGACGTCAAGGAGCATCAGGATCACAGGGTACTCTTTTAGACCAGTCTCCTCCAGTAGACCTCTCTCTGCTGCCATGGAGTTGAAGGCTCGTGATGAGACGTTGCAGAAAGCTTTTCGACACTCCTGCGCTAGCTCTGGCGATAGTTTAGAGATGAACTCTTCTTGAACCTCTGTATACCTCCTCCCCTCAGCTCTCGCCGGACCAGACTTGGGCCTTTGTGATAAGGGTCGTGGCAAGGGACAAAGAAGGTAATGATGCTGGTCTTTGCACTCTGGATTTCCACACAGGTAAGTAGTCTTTCTGCAGGGTTCATCGTGGATCTCGAGGCACCTCTTGCAGGCTCCAAGTTGCCGCACTGCATCTTCTTTCTCCTGTAACTTTGCGTTGGTTCTGAACCGTCTGCAGATGTAGAGCTTTCTCTTGTGTTTCGGGTCCCCACAGATGATGCAGCCTGCTGGATCAGTACTGGATTTAACTGACTTGGTACGGGCGTACTTTACTGGGAACTTTATTCTCTCCTTGGCAGGGTCGATGTCTCTCAGCTGGTCTAACTGCTCGTAGATGGACTCTTGAGATTGGAGGTATGCGAGCAGCTTGTCAAACCGGTTCTGATGAGTCACAGCATTCTTTGGATCAGCAGTGTGGGTAAGCCAGTCTTTCTTTAGGGACTCAGGCAGCTTGCTTTCAATAGACTTTATTACTAAGAGGTTCTTTATGGCATTTGCTTCATCCAGCTCACTCAAATCATAGAGGGCCTTTTCAACTGCGTGGATAAGCTCTATAATTCTTCTAGGCTGGTTGCTACGGACAGGAGGGATAGCTTGAAGCTCCTCAATGATTTCAATGGCGATGGTGGCTTGATTTCCATAGCGGTTCTTGAGGACTCTGAAGATCTCATCGGCCGAGGTGTATGTGGACAGGCGCAGATCTTTGGCCACTTTATCATCGAGGCTATCAAGAAGTTGGAATTTCTTTACTTCCACGGACCCGGTTGGTTCACCTTGCTTTTGCAGAGCCTCCCATTCCTTCCGCCATCTGTAGAACTCACGCTGGCTGCCGGTGAACTTTGGTAAAGCTGTGGCTTTCAGTTTTATGGCTGCGACCGAGGCTGCGTTGCGGACTGTGACAACTGCTTGGTTGGCATCTCTTTTAATCCTCTCTGCTTTGATCAGGATTGCCTTCCCTGACACCAGCTTTGGAAGGCAGGTTTCGAGCTCCATCAGTCGACGATCACAATCTCGCCTCTCAGCAGGTGGAGCCCAGCGGTTCCATGTCTGGTGTGCCTGCTTAGCTTTCTTCACCAGTTCTTCTAGATGGTGGAGCATAAAATCATATGCCTCCAGGGGTGTATCAGGCTGAGTGGATGTGACGTTCTCACACGCCATTTCTGCTGATTTTAGAGCAAGGCTCAGTTTTTTTTCACCATGATGTCCACAGTGTCTCTCTGATTAGGTGCTTCACCTCCTTCAACTTCTGCTCACATTCTTTCTCCGTTTTTTCGACGTCTGCTCTCTGTTGGCCCATCAGCTCCGGTGTGCCCTCTGCTTCACACTGCGTGATGTAGGCGGCTTCAAGCTCCTCGTTCGCGTCAATCACTTTGGAGCCCTCTGCTGTGAGTCTCTTGAAGGAATCCTGCAGCTCCTCTACAGACATATCCATGTGGGTCCTTATTATATGGTTGGTGAGTCTGGAAAACAGTCTCTTTGCAGTGGTTCGCTCTATTTTCAGCTCTTCGAGTGACTTGGACTCAGCCATGCTGTTTTCTCGGTTGTTGATTGGACTGGCAAACGGCGTGCGATTTCCTCCAGGCCCCCAGGTGGAGTCTTCTCCGTCTTTGCGGTGAGCTTTTGTGGAGTCTTCACTGGTCAAGGCCGGTTTCTCTACTGGCCAGGCCGGTTTTTTACTGTCAAGTGTTTTCTGACTGTGAGGTGTCCACACTTGAAAAAGACCAGACTTTGAATTTCACTCAACTTTATTTAGACCAACTAGTTTGATAGCTGGTAGGTAGCAGCAGGTAAAAAACCGATAGCCCGTCTTGTTCACAGTCTTCCTCACAGTGGAAAAGTGCTTTGTTTGCCGTCCTCTCAGTATGTTGCTCACAGGTCAAATGAGTGCTGCATGCATTTTAAGGTCTACTAGGCACGCCCACCCTTGATTGCCCTAATGTGGCTCACCTGGCAGGGCGGCGCACACCAGGCCGTGCTTAGTTGTTGATTGCACCCAAGGTCTAATCAGTGGCCATGCGCACGCAGCAGCACCGAACAGGTAGTGGGCAGGAGGAGGAAGAGAGGAATAACAGCCACACCTACTAGGTCAGCACGACAACCACCATTACCTAATTTATGGTGAACACAGGCAATGGCGATAATGAGTCTATCAACAATAATCAAAATATATGATACCTAGTTTTTTGCACATACAGAATTTCCATAAATACATGCATCCAACAACAGCCCCACATGAATATATCTAAATATCTGAAGATAGAACAAGGAGAGTGTGTGAATGATGGATAGAAAGCACTGAATACGGCAAGTTATATGAATGCTTTGAGTGCTCAGAGTAGAAAATCGCAATGCAAGAACCAGCCCATTTACCATTAGCAAATTGGCTTTTCTTCATCTGATCCCTTCTACATCCAGAATCAAATTTAAAATCCTTCTCCTCACGTGGAATGTTTTGAATGATTAGGCCTCATCTTCTCTTGAACATATCATAGTACTGTATCACCTAAATAGAGGACTTTGCTCTCAGATTGGTAAATTGTAAATGGACTCCCATTGCACACTTCAAGTGCTTTATACAACTTACCTAATTCACCCAGTCATACAAGCACCTTTTTTCTGTGCTTTCTATCTAACATTCACACATATTCATACTGTGATAGGTGCACTGGAGAGAAACTTGGGGGTAAGTAGAAGACGGGACTCGAACCACCACCCTCTACCTCCTGAGCTTACTCACTCACCCCCATTGCTTACTTGTTGTTAATAGGATATTTAAGTAGTACTTAAAATACCTTACAATAGAAAGCACCTTAATGCCACTGTTGTTGTGATGTGGTGCCATATAGATAAAATTGAATTGAATTGAGTCTTAGACCATAGAACAATTGGACACTTTGTACTGAAAATTTTAGTTTTATTGAATTAGTTCCAGTTTACAAAGGTTAACAAGCTTTCATTGCCTCCTTTGACAGAAGTCCAAGAAAAAATATCAGATCATTCTTCTCATCTGTATGTTAATTCAAATGAAATTTATTAAAGAAAACACCAAAGATTCACATTTTTAGCTGTATTAGATCATCTACCTCTTCAAGATACTGATTCGCTCAATGCTCTATTTTTACATATATGCAAAAAAAATAATTTCCAAGCACTTCAATTTATACATTATTCTGGTCTTTGAGTATTGTGTTTACCACCTTCATTAGTTTTTCAACCTGATCAGGACCTGATTTGTTGTTCTCAAAGAGAACACACCTGTTTCCACACTTTTCAACCATTTTCTTCAGATCAGGTTGGCAAGAATGAAGAAAATCCTTCAAGCCCATTCCCGCCTGCTGCAAGTCGTTTCCTCGGGTGAACAGGATGATTGTTCGTCCTCTAACTTCCCTCCCAAAAGCTTTTTCTAACTTTTCCATTATGTCTCTCTCATCATCTATAAATCTGCTCACATGCATCACAAGTACATACACACATGGTCCTGACTCACAGAGTTGTTTGCACCTTTGCACATGTTTGCCCCTAACTGATGGAGCAATGTCATCATCAAACATATCTGGGGTATCAATCACATTTACGTCTACACCACTGATCTCAGTTTGTACATTCTGGCAAATTGTGGTGACCGCCGTTGAACTGGGTCTAGAAACAAAGTGTTTCTGTCCAAGGATGGTGTTCCCACTGGCACTCTTTCCAGTCCCAGCCATTCCCAAAAGAACAAGGTTCACTGTGGTGCCAGTGTGTCGTCCTGCATAGATGTATACCAATAGTAATGTAAGTGAAAACTTATTATGCTACATTAAAAAAAGAATAAATTAAAAGTGAATGAAATAATTTAAGATTGAGTCTTGTACAGTACTATTAAAACACAAAAGAATGTGGTTACCATTAGTGAATCTTTATTGCATTATTTTTCAAGTACTCTTTGCTTCAGAAATCATATGAACAATGCTGCTTGACTGAAAAACCCACTAGTATGTGCTTTATATAGCAGTTCAAAGAGATAGTGGTTTACCTGTCTTTGCCTCATCAGTGTGTGGTCTTGTTATACATTGTAATCCCACGCACTTCATCAGGAAGCTGGTTGTTGTGTCATAAAAAGTTATAATCATAATAATATGCAAACATTTCAGAGTATCTCTATGAGCTACATTTGCAAAATATTTCATTGCATATATGTACCCCATGAAAAGAGACTTGATTTACATGCTAAAGCTAAATCAAAAGTGCTCGACTTTTAGCTTTACCTCATATTGTCTGCCGCCGGTTGTCTGTCTTTAGTCTCGTTGCTTCCGTCTTGCCATTTGCTGAAAAAGTTTCCCATGATGCAGGATTTGAACGAATAACCTGCAGGTTCAAATGTCAATGCCAGCACAACTCTTCACTTTTGTTTAAGTATACTCATTTAACAAATTAGTATATCTCCGTTAAATAAATACATTTTTCTGATACTCTTAGACACTCTTGATTAGAAATTATTTTTTATTGCTACAAAGCAAAGAAATGTAGACACACAACTTACAGTGAGTGGAAGTTGTTCGGTCTGTTGAAGCATAACTCTGTGTGACTCTGTCTAAAGCCTGCAGACTGCTGTTCTCTGACTGTATAATACTGCAGGAGGCGTGTCATCTGTTGAGCTATAAAAAGCAACATGTTTGTTGCAGTTTTAGCATTCATCTCTCACCTGTGCAGCGACAACAGTGAAGAGAAAACATGGCTTCATTTCCACCAGGTAAGACTTATTATTAATCATTGTGTCTTTAATTACTTTCCTTTGAAAAATGTCAAAATTTCTCAGTTTCACTTTGGTTCTTGTAAAACTCTTGTGTACCTGGGTTAAATCAAATTAGTCATTTGTGTTTCAGGTCCTGATTTGAGGATTGTGATGATTGGAAAAACTGGTGTGGGCAAGAGTGCTGTTGGGAACACCATCCTGGGATGTGAGCGTTTCAGATCTTGTCCTTTATCTGCATCAGTGACTGAGTTTTGTGAAAAAGGTGTGACACAGTGGGGTAACAGGGTGATTAGTGTTGTAGACACACCAGGGATCCTGGACACTTCAAAATCAGACGAGTTCATCAAAAGTGAAATCGTCAAATGTGTTGAAGTCTCCTGTCCCGGTCCTCACGTGTTCCTGTTGGTCATCCAAATCGGTCGATTCACGAGAGAAGAAAAAAACTCAGTGGAAGCCCTGCAGGAGCTGTTTGGCCCCGAGGCAAACAAGTACATGATTGTGCTCTTCACCCGTGGTGGTGATCTTGGAAGCATGACCATACAGCAGTATGTACGTGACGCTGAGCCAGGGCTTAAACGCATCATCCAAAGCTGTGGAAAAAGGTACCACGTCTTTGACAACACTAGCAACGACAGAAGGCAGGTGGTGGAGTTGGTCAAGAAGATCGACAAAATGATGGTATTAAATAAGGGCACGCACTACACAGACGCCATGTTCAAAGAGGTGGAGGAAGCACGCAAAAAGGGAGTAACACTGCAGCAGTACAAGTTCACTGAGCCATTGTGTAAACGTATCAAACTTTTTCGCATCATTCTGGGGAAAGATTAAAGTGTTGTTATTCTACTGTAATTATTCTATTCTGAATAGGACAGCTTTTATACCTACATGAAATATACAGTTTGTTCATGATCATACACACAGTGTGCAGGATCAATATATGTTGATTTCCCATAAAGAAATAATAAAGTAAAATATTTTTATGTGACTTTATCTTTTGATGTTAAAGAAGAAAGTATTTGAACGTGAAATAGTGAGCATATAATCATTGTTTTATAATAATCATAACATAAGCTATGCTATTAAAGTATTTATTGTCTCTGTTGCATCTATTCTGATTTGTATATGGGCATCAAATCATGGTGGTTATGTATATATCATACATTTGGGAGACACAAGATAAATTTAGTCAATTAAATATTTTGTGTTAATTCGAGCTGTGAATTGTTTTCTGTTTTAAACAATCATGACTTCAGTTTCTATAACGGTGGCACTCTGCCTCTGTTTCACTCTTTTGTACCACCTTTAGAAGTCAGTCCAGCAACAGGCATTTGAAAGGCAAGCAAGACCAGGTACTTTTCTTTTTAAAAAGCTGTTTAATGAAACTTCGAATTAACATGGCAAGACTCGGTCGAAAGACTGTGTTCCCTCCAGCTTATCCAACTCCCGAACTACGTAATTACAGTGTGGCAGAAGCCCAAAATACCAAAAAGCGCACTAGAATTTCGCACTTCTATATTCTACCCTTTAACACAACAGTATTTGGAAATTAACTGGAAATTACACACTTATCAACAAAAATCTATATTTCCTTTTTTAAACCAATTAAACCAGCCTTTAATTGGCTCTTACAGTTTCTAATGAGAAGTTTTACTTTGGGTCTATTCTATGGCTGTTTGTATTAAAACATTATGAAAGTTTCCCTTAATCTGAATCTGATTTGACAGTTATTCATTTAAAGCTTCAAGCTTCATAAAAACTAATAATCACACCACTTTCATCAGTTATTTCTGATTCTGAGATGACAATGTCAGAATCAGATGTTCAGCTGCTTCATTCATTATTATGTTTTGCCTGTGTGAATGACAGAAAATTAGATGACTGGTATTGACAGGTTTCTAGGTTTCACCATCATGAAACATTTCTCCAAGACAAATCACTTCATAACCCTGCCCAAGTGCCCATCCGCCTTGGAGATGGCTCAGCTAATGATGGACCATATCTTCTCGCTGAGAAAAGGAATAAGAATAACTTTATTGAGCCCAAAGCAAAATTCACAAAATTTTATCTGAATTAAGAAGCAGAAAGTTAGCGGCCATCCAGGTCTTTATGTCTTTAAGACATTCCTGCAGTTTAACTAATTGGTGTGTGTTATCTGACTCTCCATTTACATGCACAAACTGGAGTCTATTAGATAGATATGATACAAACCACTGCAGCACAGTACCTGTAACACCTACAGCATCTTCTAATCGCTCTAATAGGATATTATGGTCGACAGTATCGAACGCTGCACTGAGGTCTAGCAGGACAAGCACAGAGATGAGTTCACTGTCAGAGGCCATAAGAAGATCATTTGTAACCTTCACTAAAGCGGTTTCTGTGCTGTGATGAACTCTGAAACCTGTTAAGGAATAAACATATATTCTTTGTGCTTATTTTCTGAGTATATTGTTTTATGTATTTTAATATTGAAGGCTTGTAAAGCAAGGCCACTTTTGACTCACAAACTAAGTGAGCCAGAATGAAAAACAGGAAGTTACTGTAGAGCTGTACAAGCATATAAATAAAACAGGAAACCAGACAGAAAAAACAGGAACTAGTAACATATAAGGAGTGTTTGTATCGAGGCTGTGTGTGACGTGTAAAGTACCAAAATAACACCTATATGAGACACATTTTTAGCCTCTAATGTTACAGATTCTGCAACTGGCTTTGGGCTGTGCAGGGCGCTCTCTCCTGGAAGATGATTGAATGAAGAATTATAAGTGATTTACCACTCCTGAGTCGGGTTTTCTCTGTTCTATCATGGGGATCAAAGAATCGGGTTTAATAAACCTGACTGCAACTCTTCAAATAAGCCATTCCTCCGCAGATGATCTGTTAGCTGTTTGACAACTACTCTTTCAATGATTTTTGAGACAAAAGGAAGGTTGGAGATTGGCCTATAATTAGCTAAGACAGCTGGGTCTGGAGATGGCTGTTTAAGTTATAACCACTGCCAGCTTGAAAGCCTGTGATGCATAGACAAATAATAGAGATAGAGTGATCATATTTGAGATTGAAGCATTAATGAATAGTAGGATGTTTTAAAGCAGTCTTGTAGGAATGGGGTCTGAAACACATGTTGATTGGTTGGAGAACAATTACTGAAGTTAACTCAAAAAGATTAATTGGAGAAAAAGACTTAAAAATATCAATGTTATTGAAAGTAGCTGTACATAATGTTATATCTGTGAGAAGTTTATAAGTAATTTCTTTTCTAATGGTTACAATTTTATTTGTGAAGAAATTCATTATTAGTTAACTTAAAGGAATGATTGGCTCAACAGAGCTCTGAACTTTTGTCAGTTAGGCTACAGTTCTGAGGTACAACCTAGGGTTTTTACTGATATTGACATAATGCCAGTGGAGTCTCTTTGTGTTCAGACACATAAATAAAATTTATGATTTATGATTTTTGTTTTTGCTTCTTTCTTTCTCTCCAGCCTCCATTCAGTATTGCCCCTCACACCCACTGCCAGTCTTTCACCTTGGGGATGTAGCAAACATATAAAATATAAAACTTTTTATCTCCTCACCTTATGTGACTGGAGAAAGTCAAATAATTAAACCTTAGCAGATGATGTATTGAATGTTGTCTGGCCCCGGGCACCCTAAAGACGATGGATGTTATGGATGCCATAGAACAGAAGAACACAAACATTTGTAAGGGCACAGAAAAGTTGAATCAGTGATGCTCAGTAAAGATTCGAGTAACTCGCAGGGCTTTTGTTTTCATGCACATTGTCTTCCACTGACAGAAAAGATAAGATAATGGCGATGAAATGGATTCCTTTCAGTCAGCAACAAAAATCAACATACGTGTTCAAAACAAAACCCATAAAAACCATCTGATAATAACAAACAAAACCAAAATCCAGTCTAACTTGTGCAAATGTTTTACTAAATTCAGACTATTGAATTCCTGAAATATTCATGTTTCTAATGTTGTCCATAGTTACTGTCACATGACTACCTTCAGTTTGCTCAGTTTGATAGAGAAGTAAAAAGTGAAATAAAGATTAAAAGACGAAGACTATTCGAAAGAGAGCAAGCCCAATCAACTATGACACACCACATTTTGGTACATAAAAAAGTATGAAAAGGCATGGAAGAAGGAGAGAAGGAAACTCCTGACACGACTTATATGCAGTCTAAGGGAAAATAAGACGGCCCAACATAAGAAAGCTGGCGTCCACATATGTGGACATCACGTTTTGGGTTGTCTAGACCAAACTACTAAATTTGCTCTACAAGGGCCTGATATCAGCTTATGAGGACATTATACTGTTCAAACAGCAAAAGAGAATTAGCAAAGAGAAACGGAAAATGCAAGCCATGAAAGAGTTTGGGTTATTGGACCCAGTTCTTTTTATTCTTTTATTAGACAGAGAAGACGCAGAGTCAGAGTGGTCAATGCATTTATAATAATTTTATTCAATCATCTTCCGGAAGAGAGTTGTGCACAGCGCTAAGTCACTTGCAGATCTGAAGCACTAGAAGCCTATGACCTATATGATAGTCAGGTCCCTCCCGTGTTATTTTGGTACTCACGTCATACACAGTTTAGATCAAAACAACTTCTGCGCTACACTCTGCCCTTACTTGATATGTGTATGTTTGTGTTGCTGGTGGAGTGATTACGTGTGCTACCCTCTGCCTAGTTCCGCTTTTTCTGTCTGCATCTGTTTCCTGTTCTTAATATACTGCCTCTGCTAGTAGGCTAGCGACCTGTCCAAGGTGTACCCTGCCTCTCACTCTAAGACAACTGGGATAGGCTCCAGCCCCCGGTGCCACTGAAGAGGATGGATGTTATGGATGCCATAGAACAGAAGAACACAAACATTTGTAAGGGCACAGAAAATTCCAAGATTTGAAACAGTGATGTTCAGTAAAGATTTGAGTAACTCCAAGGCCATTGGCTTCCATGTGCATTGTCTTCCACTGACAGAAAAGATAAGATAATGCCAGTGAAATGGATTCCTTTCCGTCACCAAAAATCCATATGTGCGTTCAGAAGAAAAAAACAATCTGATAATAACAAATGGAAACCAAAATGCAGTCTAACTTATCTAAAGGTTTTTACTGAAGTCACGCTTTTGAATTCCTGAAATATTCCTGTTTCCCATGTTGCCCATAGTAACTGTCACATGGCTACCTTCAGTTTGGATGTACAGAGAAGTAGAAACTGAAATAAAGATTAAAAGAAGACGACTATCTGAAAGAGAGCAAGCATCATGAAGTGTCATCTTTCACACTTTTTCATAAGTTAATGATCCTTTGTATACATATTAAACATGAAGCTTTGCTTTTCTATGTCCTCATCTTATGTGACTCGTAGAAGTCAAACAATTTCATCTTAGCAGATGGTGTGTTGAATCTTTTCTGTGCGTTGATGTTTCAGTAAATCACCTGCAAATGTAACTCGGAGTCTAACAGAAGTCACTTGGATGAGTGACGAAACGTTTCTGCCACTGAAAACACACAGATGAACAGAATTTATTTTATTTCTTTATACCGTGCCAAATCACAACAGCAGTTGCCTCAAGATGCTTTATTTTGAAAGCTAAAGATCCTACAGTCATATAAAGCCAATCAAAGAGTAATGTATGTAATGATGATGGTGTTTATACTTCGAATGTTATTGCCAGCTCAACTTTTTGACTTTTCCCAGGTCATGTTGTCCCATCTGTGTATAACCTCCAAGTTACTCACATTTATCCGTTAACTTATGTGTGTGTGTATAAGATAATGTGTATATGATCAAATGAGATGAATTATTATGTATACTGTAGAACACAAGGAGACAAACATTTGTAAGTACACACACAGAATTCCACGATTTGAATCAGTGATGTTCAGTAGAGATTTGAGTGGCTTCTGTCTTCCATGACAGAAAATGTAGATAATGCCGATGAAATGGATTCCTTTCAGTCACAACAAAAATCGATATGTGTGTTCAGAAGAAAAACAAATATGATAATAACAAACAAAACCAACATCCAGTCTAACTTGTCTAAATGTTTTACTGACGTCAGGCCATTGAATTCCTGAAATATTCCTGTTTCTAACGTTGTCCATAGTTGCGGTCACATGGCTACCTTCAGTTTGGATGCACTGATAGAGAAATAGAAAGTGAAATAAAGGTTAAAAGACGAAGGCTATTCAAAAGAGAACAAGCCTAATCAACTATGACACACCACGTTTTGGTAGATAAAAAAACAAAGTTTGAAAAGGCATGGGAGAAAGAGAGAAGGTAAATCCTGTGTCATGTTATGATTTATTTAGGAAGATGATGAAGCATCATCTTTCACATTTTTTCATAATGATGTGACATGAGAAAAATGTGAAGCTGTGCAGTTTGATCAGTAAATAATAATAACATAGACATAGAGATCTTCATTTTGAAATTTGAAATGACAATGTCAGGTATGAGAGACGTGACATTGGATTGTAAAGGAAAAAAAGGCAGCCCAAGGATTAGGCTGTGAGCAGCTGACATGTGCCTCTCCAATATTCACTGCTCATTGTAGGTCTGTTCAGCTGAATTCAAAAATATATGTGCAGAGTTTACATGAGGCCTTCTAAAGTAGGAAAAGGTTATATTCAATTAAAAAGTAAAAATCAGTAAATATCCAAGTAACATCATGGTAGCAACAGTGGTTACAGTTAGGGATGGGTAAGGGTATCCGGTGCCATGATGGCACCAGTTCTGACTTCAACGGTAGTAACCAGACCGAAAAGCAGCGCACATTTCGGTGCTTTATTTCTGTCACGGCTGCGGGGGCAGACGTGTGGTGAGTGTGAGACAGAATCCAGACGCAGGCACTGGCTTGGATGTGAGCGAGCTTTTATTAACACACTGGTGGTACAAACTGAAATGCGGCAAACAGAAACAAAACCCAAAGATGACCTAGACTGGAAGAAACTAACAAAACGGACCTGAAAGGAAGACTCTAGGAGAAACACTAACATGAGTGAACACAGGCTATAAATACACAGAAGGGAACGAGGCAACTACACACAGGAGGGAGGCACAGCTGATTGTGATCAACAAGACGAGACAGGGGAAACACAAACTGAACACACTGGCATAAGACAGACTTTCACAATAAAAGAGGAAACTCAAAACACATGCGAAGACACAGACACAGAGACGCGGACTTTACACAGAGACTCAGCTACACTAGAGGGATACACAGGTAGGGGTGACACAAAACAGAGGGAGCACAGAATAAACACTGGGAGGTCAAATAACAAAACCTAAAAATCAGAACTCAGGAAGTACCACGAAACTAGGGCGCTACAAACACTAGGACAGAAAACCTAAAACACAAACAGTCACAAACCATTATGAAATCAAAAGTGAAAGTACAAAAACCAAAAACATTGGGTCACCGACCCACGACCACAACAATTTCGGTGCTTTTTTTCCCTGAGATGTCATACACTTTGGATTCTAGCCAATCATTTTACCTTTGCAAGTGTAGTAGGCGGGCACAGGTACGTACGTTCTTTTAGAGCAGAGCTACAGATTAAAAATGCCCAAGGCGAAGCGGTCAAAGTCTGGCTGTACTTCACAGCAAAATATGCAAACTCAGCAGCCTGCAACAAGTGCTTTAAGCTGATACTGTGATACTGTCAAAGGAGGTAACACCTCGAATCTGATGAAACACCTGGCACACCAGTGTGTGAATGTGTGTGTGAATGGGTGGATGACTGGTTGTGTAAAGCGCTTTGGGGTCCTTAGGGACTAGTAAAGCGCTATACAAATACAGGCCACTTACCATTTACCATTACCTGGCGACGCACAGAATAACTCCAGTTTTGAAGCACATCAAACTTTATTAATTTGTTAGTCTGAAGAAGTATTCTTGGTGTGTATCCTGTGTTCTAGTACCTGCATTTCCACTCAGCAGCAGAGGTAGAACTGCATAAAATATCATTGAAAATTTGAATTTTCAAGCTAACTTGAAACTGAAATTCAGAATATTGTTAACAATCTTAAAATATTCATTTGTCAGATTGGATTCTCGGTGCTTGTTGATAATTCTGGTATCATAGTGTATCTGATCAAGGCATCTCACAGGAGTTGGTGAACAGACACATACGCTACAATCATCAAAGGAAGACGAACATGCGTTTATGATGTGTCATCTTAAAACTGGTGTGACTTTTATAAATAGGGATGGGTATCGTTTAGGTTTTATCCGATACCAGTGCCAAACCGGTACTTTTGAAACGGTGCCGGTGCTTAAAGAATGGAGAACACAAAATTGGTCCAAAAACCTCTCATTTTCAGCTGTTTTTTTTGTAAAAAGATAACAATGTTAGCCTTTTCTGCAGCTATGGGGCATATATGGTATCACTCTTGGCTGGAAGCAGCGCTTAAACAATGGAAAAAACACAAACTTTGTCCTAAACCTCTCATGTTTAGCTGTTTCCCTCTTTTTCTTTGGTCATTTTAGCCTTTTTGGCCAGGGTGAAGGGAGTACCTGCCATCAAACAAGAAGACAGCCGCATGTAGCTATGATGATGTTTGCTAGTTCACCTTACATGCATTAATGTAATAACGTGGTTAGCCTACTCAACGTAAATTACACACGAACAACATTAAGCTACTCACGCAGAGAAGAACGGCTGCTGCTGCATCATCATCCTCATCCTCATCATTTCTGCTACACTGGCAGGGCTAGGGGCCAGGACTCTATTCATCGTGTTTTTGGGGGATGTTGCTAACTCCGGGTCCGATAACAGGCAACCCACTCGCAGTAGATGCTCTCGGTGTGAGGTCTCGCAGCAAGCTATCAAATACGGTGCATTTCTGGGCTTTTAAAAAAAACGCTATGCGTCGCCAGGTGTTTCATCGGATTTGAGGTGTTACCTCCTTTGACAGTATCATAGTATCAGCTTAAAGCACTTGTTGCAGGCTGCTGAGTTTGCATATTTTGCTGTGAAGTACAGCCAGACTTTTGACCGCTTAGCCTTGGACATTTTTAATCTGTAGCTCTGCTCTAAAAGAACGCACGTACCTGGCCCCGCCTACTATCCTCGGAAACGTAAAATGATTGGCTAGAATCTAAAGTGTATCACAGCTCAGGAAAAAAAAGCACCGAAATGTGCGCTGCTTTTCGGTCTGGTTACTACCGTTTATGTCAGAACCGGTGCCATGATGGCACCGGACACCGGTACCCATCCCTAATTATAAATAAATAAAATCCCATTTGTCAGGTTAGACTATGAAATCAGAACCCTAATGCAGACAGACAGGGATCTTTTATTGAAGGAAAACCAAAATCCATAAAAATACAATGAAACACTGTGAAAACAATGAGACTAGAAAACATAAGGAAGACATGAAGCAGGAAACAGGCTACGTGACATCTTGGTTGGATGTAGGCTACTTTGGAACATTGTAAAATAAGACACATAAAGCTATTTATAAATCCAATATACAGCACTTTAAGAAACAGACTAATGCTCTAACATATTTATTACTTGAGACAGGAAATGGCACGTATTTTAGTGCTCTGATCTGATAAATGAAGTCATCATTTTTGCTTTTCTTCTGTCACCCTGATCACGTTGTCCATTAGCTTTTCCACTTGAGCTGAATCTGATCTGTGGTTCTCAAAGAGAACACACCTGTTGCCACACTTTTCAAGTATTTTCTTCAGATCAGGTTGGCAAGAATGTAAGAAATCCTCCAACCCCAGTCCTGCCTGTTGTAGGTCGTCTCCTCGGGTGAACAGGATAATTGTTTGTCCTCTAACTTCCCTCCCAAAAGCTTTTTCTAACTTTTCCATGATGTCTCTCTCACCATCTGTAAATCTGCTCACATGCATCACAAGTACAAACACAAAGGGTCCTGACTCATAGAGCTGTTTGCACCTTTTTACATGTTTGTCCCTAACTGATGATTTCATGCCATCATCAAAGATGTCAGGAGTATCAATCACACATAAGTGTACACCTTCTTTCTCAGTTTCTTCCATCTGGCACTTTTTAGTGACCGGCATTGAACTGGGTCTAGAAACAAAGAGTTTCTGTCCAAGGATGGTGTTCCCACTGGCACTCTTTCCAGTCCCAGACATTCCCAGAAGAACAAGGTTCACTGTGGTGCCAGCATGTCTTCCTGAATTGATTTACGATAATGATAATTTGAGAGAAACAGATTAAAGTTACATTAAAACAAACACTTACTTTCTTTAATTTTAGGCACATTATAAGCACAGTTCATACTTTTTGAACTCTTCTTAGGGTCACTGTAGGGCTTTTCTTTATGTTTGCCACCTGAATAAAATAGACAAATGAGAGTTTTTGTATCAGTTTCTATAAAGCATAGTGGTTTGTTCAAATAAGCCACCACACAAATCATTTTTAAGGGAAAGTGCTGAGTGAGATTGTGGTTTACCTCTCGTTGCTGTGTCAGTGTGAGTGTGTAGCCTAGCTGTGGTTTGTGATTTATGGCCAAATCTGAAGTTTTGTAACAGTGAACATATTAACTTAGCAGTAAACTGTTTGCTGTTTCATAACAATTAATTATTTAATAGCATCTTCTGTTGAAAGCAGATTTACATGAAGCTAACTGTAATTACAAATCAGCCACTCTCTACTCTCCACCTTCACCTTTACCTCTTGCTAGTTGCCTCTGATGGTCTGGATTTTGTCTGTTTAACACTTTTCAGTTTGAAGGGCAGGCAGCTCATGGTGCAGGATTAGGAGGAGTAATCTGTAGGTTCATATGTCAGTGGCAGCAGAATTCTGAACTCTTCACCTTCATTTATTTATATTTCATAAGTTTTCTTTTGGGTAAAAAAAACAGATAACTGTTTACACAAGATGCTATATCAGTTTTCAAGGCTTTGTCAAACACTTTAGCAGTGTAAACTGTAAAGTTACTATGATAAGTATTCCCCCAGTGTTGTGCAGTAAAAATCATGTATGTTGTCTGTGAAAACAAACATGAACTCGTCTGAGAAGGTTATAAGTCTAAGGAGACTGGAAAGAAAAACGTCTTTCCAAGCTCATTAGACAAACATTAAATCATTTGTCTGTAATACTGTATCTCATGTTTAGGTAATCATTAAACATCTTTCCTTATATCTAAATTTTATTCATTAACAATGGTTTTTTTAACTAATGCAAATAAAAGAAAAGTCTACAAGTGAACTTACCGTGAGACATTCCCTTAGACAAGCAGCAAAACTCTGTGTGGTGTCTGAAGCTGAGCTGCACTGTGTTTCTATTATGTGGGGGCGTTATCCAACCAATGCAGGCATGTCAGAGGTGTATCTATAAATAACCAATGCAGTTAACAGAAGCTTTAACATTTATCTCTCTCATCTGTTCAGTGACAGCAGTCACGATAAAAACAAAAAAATGCTACATTTCAATGAGGCAAGAACGATTTTCAATCTTCTCTTTCTGCATGATGTCTGATTATCAATCCAGTTCAAGCAGATTATGTATGAAAAATGTTGAAATACTTTCAGATTCATTGAGGCTTACATGCACAGATTACACTGAAGTTGTGAATTGTGTTTCAGGGCCTGATTTGTCCCTGTTCATTATCAGTGACTGAGATATTGTAAAAACAAAAACAAAACTGTGACACAGTTTACTAAGTGTGGAAGACACCAGGGATTCTGGATTCTGGAAAATCACAGTAATTAATCAACAAAGAAATTGTTAAATGCATTTAAGTCTCCTGTCCAGGTCCTCAGGTGTTCCTGTCTGTCATCCAAGTCGGTCAAATCACCAGAGAAGACAAAAACTATGAAAGAGCTGTTTGGCCCTGAAGCAAATAAGCAGATGATTGTTTCTGTTCACTTGTGGTGGTGAGCCTGACGCCCGTGGCTTGGTTGGGCCTCTTCGGGTGCGGGGGGCCCTCAGGCCTCGTGCAGCTGGCTGCCGGCAGAGCCTGCGGGCATGTCACTGCAGCCACTTCTAGCCTCTGCTCCGTGGCTGCTGAGTGACCCCTCATCTGGGGCTCTCCATAGCTCTTCCCAGGAGGGTGGCACGGCTGCCCCTCTGATGGTCCTCCCTGGGTTCTCACACTCTGGGGCCTCTGGATGTCTGGAGCCTCCTCCATGCCTGCTTCATGCCCTGGGGGACGGGGCTATGGCTCCCCACACCATCTAGCACAGTGGTTCCCAAAAGTTTTTGGGAACTCACACCCATATTTTGTTTGCAATATCCATTGCAGTTTATTTCACACCTCAAACATTTAGTAAACAATTAATCAAATACAAGTAATCTACAATAAATTACAGGTAGTAATAAAATGCAGTACTAACTCTTTTACGCTACGTCCGCACCTACACGGGTATTTTTGAAAATACAGGTGTTGCTATGCTTTTGGGCCTTTCATCCTCGCGTTTCGTAACAACTGAAAATAAAATAAAATAAAATAAACGTTGATCAAATGGATCAACTTGATGATCCACTTGGTAAGTAAATCTGTTGGATATCTTTATTGGCAATCAGAGAACAATTCTGATGACTAAGGAACCAAACAGGACAGGCAAAAAAATAATAATGATAATTTAAAAAAAATAGTGCTGCAACAACTAAAGTTCTTTATCCTGGCTTATTCATGATATGTCCAATAGATGGCGACACATCGACAATAATAGTGATGCTTGTTGAAACTGCACCTGGATACAGTTTTGGTTCCAGAAAAATATAACACAACAACATAAATGAAATAAAATGAAATAAAATAAAACAATTAAATAAATTAACAGATAAATAAATGGATGAGAAATAAAACGACTAAAAGATATAACTGAGGGTTCATGCCATCAAAGGATTCATTGAATAAGGCCGTTGGAGTATAAATCATATTTAGAATGATTTTAAAATGCGTTTGGGTGCATTTTCTCACGCTGGAATAGATTGTTATTAATAATTACTTATTTGTTTGTGAAATATGCAGTACTTACATTGGGAAATTAAGTTAATTTTATATTTTCATTGTCTAATATAAGGTACCCATTCTATACACATTCTTTAAATTTAAACTTTTAACAGGTTTTCACCACATTACATTTTAAAGTCCAACATATGGATATTTATGTATTTATGGGACATCACAGGAGTCTTTTCGGAAGTTGGTTTCTTGGAAAATCTGCAGCTCAATCACTTCTACATAATAACATAAATACCTGAGATGTTTTTACAGTGGACCAAACAAAACAACTAAGGATCTAACAATGATCTGTTTATCCAAAGAGACACCAGATGCACTTGATAACTTTTATTGAATTCAGCGATAATTTGTTGCTGTTACACTTTATGAGCTTGATTAATCTGACCAAGATTCACAAACAACAATTACAAAAAACCCAACATAATTTTTTAAATCCATCACTCCTTCATTTGCTGATTTGTAGGAAAAAAGTGAAATAAAGCCTAAAAATGAAAATTATAAGATTTATGAGATTTATAAGATCTACTGGTTTAATACATCAAATAATGTCATGCTCAAACCTTTTTCAATTTAATTTAGTTCAACTCAGTTTTATATATACAGCTCCAAATCACAGCATCAGGTGCCTCAAGGCACTTTATAGTTTCAGGTAGACCCTTGAATAATACATATAGAGGAAATATAGAGGAAAACCCAGTTTTTATAATTTTTTATATCTTTACACCGTACATGATCTGACACATGACATTATAATTTCTGCTGTTTTTCTAACACCATGATCACTGTGTCCAGCAGCTTTTCCACCTGAGCAGAACCTGATCTGTTATTCTCAAAGAGAACACAACTGTTGCCCAACTGTTGAATCATTTCCTTCAGATCAGGTTGGCAACTACGCAGAAAATCAGTCAGCATTTTTCCAGAACGATGCAAATCATCTGATTTAGTGAACAGGATGATAGTTTGTTCTTTAACATTCCTCCCAAAAGCTTTTTCCAGTTTTTTAAGTATGTTTCTCTCACCATCTGTAAATCTGCTTATATGCATCACAAGTACATACACACGAGGGTGTGACTCACAGAGCTCTTTGCACTGTTTTAGATATTTGTTCTTAACTGGTTCTTCAATGTCATCATCAAACATGTCTGGAGTATCTATCACACGCACATGTTTGCCATTTATCTCTGTTTCTGCTATCTCACAATCTTTGGTGACTGGCTGTGAACTGGGTCTAGAGAAGAAGACTGGCTTTCCAAGGATGGTGTTTCCACTCGCACTCTTTCCAGTCCCAGACATTCCCAGGAGAACAAGGTTCACTTTGTTGCTGGTACGCTTTCCTGTATGGAAGTGTTGTGTTGTTTTGATTCCTGTAATGAATTTCAGAAACATCGACATAGTTTGGAATAATGAACTTCCAACTGATATCAGTCTGAACAAGTCTGAAAGACACTGTATAGATTGTGGTTTACCTGGCATTGCCATCACAGTGCGTGGTGCTGACGAACGTGGAAGAGGTACAAAGGACCGTGACCCGACACTCTGTTCCTGTGGTTGTTTAATGGTTTTGATTGATTTTTCACTTATAGGCTGTTTTCCTGGTTCGGCACACACATCCGCTGGCTTTCCAGCTGTCTGCGCACTCTCCCGTCTCTGATCTCTGATCTCACTATAAAAAGAGTGAAACCTCATTAGTTCAATCATGTCCACCTGATCCTCCAACCCACACTGTCCCTTGAGTGCACTGCACCACCCTCCCCTGCAGCTGAGCCAGGGAACACGCCTTCGCCACAACAGGATTACCTGTGGACCTAATGTTCAAAGCCTTAATACCTGTGTTTTAGTAATATAGCAACCTTCCCCCACAAATACATGAAAAAATACCATAAAGCATTATGTTATTTTTCATCCTTACTTTGTTTTAGTTAGCATCAGATTTCTGCCTTCAGCCAGTCTGTCGAGCTCACTGAAAACCTGTTCCATGGTGCAGGATATGAACGAGTAATCTGTGGGTTTATAACTCAGTGGAAGCAAAACCATAAACTCTTCTGCAGGTTTTTCAGTCTTATTGCTCAGATGTTCTATCTGCTTCCGAACATCATCTGGTGAAAAGCCATGTTCTACCACCAGCAGACACATGTCAGGATATCGATTAATACACAACAAGTCTTGTATGTCCTTAAATTCTGCATACAAGTCTGGTGTAAACATGACTTCATATATATCATTTACATAGATCTCAATCTTTTTCAAAGCTTGTCTTTTATCTAGTTTGGATAAATCTTTTCCCAGGATGTTGGTTATTAGAGCTTTCTTCAAGACTTCATCTCTTCCCAGGATAACAACTACAATCTTCCTTTCTGTGAAAACAATAAGTCACATGGTTAGTTTTCCCATTTGCTATGCAGTTCTTTTAATTTCAGCAAAACAACTAAAAATACTATTAACAGAATATTTTCACCCACTAGAAGACATAGTCCTTCAGTCCTTCAGTCCAGTTTAGCAAAGTGAAGAAGACGAGCTGTGTGGCGTCTGCAAGCAGTGCCGATCTTTGTCTGTTTTAATAACCTGTTATGCAAATGCTGGAGGTGTGTCATGTGTGAAGCTATATATAACGTTTTTAACATTCAGTTGTGTCATCTTTGTGGTGGAGAATTCGTCAGAAAAATTTGATTTTCATCCACTAACACCCAAACCAGACAAACTGAAGAGGTCACGAGCAAAAATAAATTGTGTGATGTGCTGAAGTCTCATGTCCTGCTGATTATTTATGCTAGCTGAATCCACACCCTGCAGAGAATTTGGGAATAAAACTTAAAATGTAAAAGACTGAAGTGAATAAGAATATAGGAAAGTTCATGAAATTATTAGAACAAAGAACCTTTTCATGATATTGTACTGTTATGAAATGCACTAGTACGATTATGAAAAGACTCAGTTTGCTTTGCTGTCTTCATTCCATCACATTCCCTGTGTGAAAATTCTATCCCAGATATTTTAGTATATACTAGAATATTCTTCTTTTTATTTGTTTGAGGTTGAATGTTATGTTCCTTGGTATATCCTGATCTCCATTGTGGTTTGCTATCCTTTATCTTTCTCTTTGTCTCTTACAATTGCGTTTGTGTGTGTGTGAATGTTAGGCTCACCTTTCCTGTAAGGCAGCATACTTAAGTACTCATGCGCTCATGCACTCCTCTGTCTCCGGATTACTTAGGTACCAGGCCACACTCTTTCATTTGCTGTGTCACCTTCCTTCTCCCTCTCCTCCAGGGAACACCACTCCACAATACATCAACTTAGCACTAAATACATAGACATTTATCCTCATCCTCTTGTGAGGAGGAGGAGGTGCCAGGCTGTTGCGGTGATGATTAGTCAAAATTCTACAAAGTTTTCTGTTTGTTAAATGAATAAATTGTTAAACTGCCAATACAGACTTCAATCATCCAATCCGATAAATGACACGTAACAAGATTCAGTAGCAGAATAAGCTGTTCACATTGGCACAGACGATTGGACAAGTTTGTCTTAGGCATAACCCACATAATTAAACTGTTCAACCCACAAATGTACTTTCTTTAACAATGTATTTGTTAAAGAAATGCATTGTTATGCAATGCACAACACATTTTTCAGCATCATTCTAAAAAAAGACCTTTCAAATTTGAGAGATTTTGCACAAATGGAAGACAGCAGTCCTAAATATTTGTTTAAAATGTGCACTAAAGGACATATCCGGGTCAAAAATGACTCCAAGGTTCCTCACAGTGTTACTGGAGGCCAAGGTAATGCCATCCAGAGTAAGAATCTGGTTAGATACCATATTTCTAAGATTTTCAGGGCCGAGTACAATAACCTCAGTTTGATCTGAATTAAGAAGCAGAAAGTTAGCGGCCATCCAGGTCTTTATGTCTTTAAGACATTCCTGCAGTTTAACCAATTGGTGTGTGTTATCTGGCTTCATGGACAGATAGAGCTGGGTGTCATCAGCATAGCAGTGTAAATGTATGCTATGTCTTCTAATGATGCTGCCTAAGGGAAGCATGTATAATGTAAACAGAATTGGTCCTAGCACTGAACCCTGTGGAACTCCATAATTAACCTCAGTGTGTGAAGAGGACTCTCCATTTACATGCACAAACTGGAGTCTATTAGATAGATATGATACAAACCACTGCAGTGCAGTACCTGTAATACCTACAGCATGTTCTAATCGATCTAATAGGATATCATGTACACTTTCTACAGAGGCACCATCGAGAGCATCCTGTCGAGCTGCATCACTGTGTGGTTTGGAGCCTGCAATGCGTCCTGTCATAGAACCCTCCAACGCATAGTGAGAGCTGCAGAGAGGATCATTGGTGCCTCTCTCCCCTCCCTCCAGGACATTTACAGCACCCGTCTCACTAAAAAAGCCCTTTGCATAGCGGCTGATCCCACGCACCCAATGCAAAGCTTCTTCAAGCTGCTGCCGTCAGGGAGGAGACTGCGGAGTCTCCAGGCCAGGACCAGCAGACTGAAGGACAGCTTCATCCATCAGGCTGTCAGGAAGCTTAACTCCCTCCCGATTCTGCCCCCTCTCCCCTCTTCTCCTCCATGGTCTCACTGAACTCTGTCACACACACACACACACACACACACACACACACACACACACTCTGACTCACTCACTGGCCTGCACCAGGAGCATTGGACTGCCATTACCTCATAAGACTTTGTTGTTACACTATCTCTTACCGTACATTACTAAATCTCCATTTGCACTATTTGCCTATTTGCACTACTCTGCCTGGTTTACACTCAGTGTCATTTACCCTTACCTGAATATTGTATATTGTATATTGCATAGCTTTCTTGTTAAATTGTATTGTATTTATTTAAATTTTTACTTTTTAATTTATTTTATTTGCATTTTTTAATCACTCTCTTATATTTAAATGTTCATTTGCTATTTCATCTAGGGTTTGAGAGTGACGAAATTTCTATTCTCTGTATGTCCTGTACATGTGGCAGAATTGACAAATAAAGTTGACGTTGACTTTGACTTTGACTTTGATATTATGGTCGACTGTATCGAATGCTGCACTGAGGTCTAGCAGGACAAGCACAGAGATGAGTCCACTGTCAGAGGCCATAAGAAGATCATTTGTAACTTTCACTAAAGCTGTTTCTGTGCTGTGATGAGCTCTGAAACCTGACTGAAACTCTTCAAATAAGCCTCTGCAGATGATCTGTTAGCTGTTTGACAACTACTCTTTCAAGGATGTTTGAGAGATTGTCACGGTCTGCGGAGGCAGACCGGGCGGAAATGTGTGTGGTGGACCCAGGAGCGAACACAAGCGAGGATGCAGGAGTGGAGTTAAACAAAAGCGAGCCTTTTATTCTGGCTGATGAAAGGAACAAAACAGAGTGAGGGCAGCATAAGAGTAATAGTTCAAACAGAAACCTAAACTGGACATAAACTAAGGAAAAGCTATGGCTGGAGATACGGAACACAGGGGGTGGTAACACAGACGACGCGACACAGACTACATGAAACACAGAGACTAAATACACAAGAGGGATGATCAGGGGAAGTGGCCACACATGGGAACACAGCTGACACAGATAAACATAACAAGACATGGCAGGAGTAAACAACACTGACGGGAGACTGTCAAAGTAAAACAGGAAGTACACAGGTGCAAACAGGAGGAGAGAGAGAGCGCGGGCATAGTGGGCTGGGGAAACATGGAATGAAACAAGGAGGGGAGATGAGGGCTCACAGATACATAGAGGGGCACACAGGGGATAAAAGTCACAAGGGGAAGTCAAATAAGGAACAATACAACAGGACAACTTAGGAAACATGGCCTAAATAAGGAACGAAATACAAAAATACAAGAAACTAAGAATACTGGGCCCACATGGCCCAGGACCATGACAGAGATATGTTGAGAGGTTGATCATAATTAAGATTGAAGCATTAACTAATGGTAGCCCTCCTTTGAGCAGTCTTGTTGGGATCTAAAAGACACATGATGATGATTAATCCATGCACAAACAGGGACTTAGAAGAGACACACCTCACAGTGGGAAGAAAAATAATTAGACAAATGAACAGGTTCGTGTAGCCAACCACTTCATGGTTTAGTTCCTGTCATTCCCTATTGTTTCCACTTTGTTATAATACCACTGCCAACAGTTGACAGTGGAATATTAAGGAACGTGGAAATTTCAAGACTGGACTTGCACAGGTGGCATCCTATCCTGGTACCACTCTGAGAACGACCCATTCCTTCACAATTGTTTGTAGAAGCAGTCTGCATCCGTAGGTTGTTGATTTTATACATCTGTGGCTAAAGAAGAGATTGGAACACCTGAATCCCACAATTTGGATGGTTGGGTAAACCATGTAATTTACCTCCAGTTCACTGCCTTTGTCTACTCTTCATTGTTGTACTGTCTAAAGAACAATCTTAAAAAAATCTAATTAATAGAATGTAGCAACCTAAGCTTATTTAATAGAGAATTTAATTGTTTTTGCCATTAATTCGATTGACAGAAACTCTGCTTTAAGGTTCCCTAACTTAACCATTTCTAATCTGATCCAACATCAGTTTTCACTGATAAGTAATTGGTTTCCTACATCTTTTACTCAGTTACTGTTAACCCTCTCAGGCTCAAATTAAGTTTTTTGTTGCTAATGCACAACCAAGTCCTGCAGTGGTACTTCTGAGTAAAAAAAAATCATAAAATATGTATGTGGGGTAATCAGGCTGTTAGTTTTTAACTGTTGCAAATCAGCATTGGATCTTGCCCTGATCTGGTCTGAATCCATGATGTATCTGTCCCATCAGACATGGTTTCCTGATTCCTTACAGAGCCTTTGATTCTTTTGGACAGATTCAACTCTGGCTGACCCACCGAGACCAATTTTGATCATTTAAGTAGAAAATATGATTGATATTTTCATACCTATGAATTTGTCAGACACATGTTGTCTGTCTGAACTACAGTGTTTAAGATATATAAATAAATGTATCCATCCTGCTGCACTGACATCCGAACAGAATATCTTCTTGGTGCCTCCTGGGTGAGGTGTTCTGGGCTTGTCCTGCACCTCCAGCACAGGTGGCCTTTGATGGTATTTATATTTATTTATGGTTCAGAACTACAACTTACTAAGTAGTACTAATGTAGTCTTTGTCTTGGTAGTAATGCAAGGGGTTTCTTATTCAAAGTGTGAAACAAAATTTTTATAAACTTACACAAACACCTATAAAGTGTTTATATAGTGGTTATACAAAAAAGTTACCAAGGGCAATTGAAATATAGTTTTCTGTGAAAAACAGTTGTTCTCATACTTTAAGCAACTACAAATCTTTCTTCTCCTTACTGTTTCCTCACTTATGCTGTGCTGCTCTGTCAATATTTCATAAACCTGTTATGCAAGTACTGGAGGCGTGTCAGCTATGGAGCTATAAGTATTGAGTTCAACAGAAACATTGACATTCATCGCTCTCACCTCTGCCGGGGCAATACTTCAAATAAAATATGGCTTTATTTCCACAAGGTAAGCTCTACCTGTGTATAGTTAATATCCCAAACTGAGATTCTGAGATGTTGAGCTATTGATTTCTGGCATGGTATATTGTTTTGGTGCAATCTGTGTTGCAGAGGCTGACTTGAGGATTGTGCTGATTGGAAAAACTGGTGTGGGAAAAAGTGCTGTTGGAAACACCATCTTGGGAGAAAAATATTTCTTTTCTTCTCCCAGTTCAGAGTCAGTGACTGAATCTTGTGAACAACATGTGAAGACGTTTAGTAACAGGGTAGTTAGTGTGGTAGACACACCTGGCATTCTGGACACGGGAAAATCCGCAGAAATCATCAAAAAAGAAATTGTGAGATGTGTTGAAATCTCCTGTCCAGGTCCTCACGTGTTCCTGCTGGTTATTCAAGTCGGTCGATTCACCAAAGAAGAAAAAAACTCTGTGGAAGCCCTGCAGGAGCTGTTTGGGCCACAGGCTAATCATTACATGATTGTGTTGTTCACCCGCGGTGGCGATCTTGGAGACATGACAATAGAAGAGTATGTAAATAAAGGCCACCAAGGTCTCAAAGACATTATCCTAAGATGTGGAAAAAGGTTCCATGTCTTTGATAACCTAAGCAGTGACAGAAAGCAAGTGGATGAGCTAATCAGCAAGATTGATCGTATGGTGGCTGAGAACAGGTGCACGTACTACACAGATGAGATGTTTAAAGAGGTGGAGGCTGCACGGAAAATGGGAATGCGAGTCGCTCAGTACAGGTTCCTTGCTCCACTGCACCAGAGCATTTTACGTTTTCATTCCATTCTTGCAAGAGATTAAATCAATGTGATAAACTGTCTAAACACAATCAGCATAATGGAAACAAGACACCCTGTGTACCCATATGTGAACATATGAAATATATTAAAAATCTCTGATGCACACTTTGTGTAGATAATTGTGTAGCATTAATTTGCTTTAATTTATCAGAACAAATATAAAATAAAAACATATCTTTCAGTGTGTCCTTGGATGTCAGTAGGGTTTAATAATAAAAGTTTAATAATACAAGTTTTGGACCTAAGACTAATTATTAGATAAAAGTACTTCTTGTATCCATTCTAAATGTAGTCTATATGTCCGAACTCAAATCTATTGTGTATATTATCTATCTATCTGTCTATCTATCTATCTATCTATCTATCTATCTATCTATCTATCTATCTATCTATCTATCTATCTATCTATCTATCTATCTATCTATCTATCTATCTATATAGATATGATGTATGTATCATATAATTTTTTCATAGAATGTTCATCCCAATGTGGCTTTAAAAAGTTGTTCAGTGTTCTTTTTGTCTAGTAAATGAAAGTCAAATTAAATAAATATCTATACCTAACAGTCTAATTTGTTGTGTTTTTGTTATTATTGAAAAATAGACTCTGCACAGGTCAATTTTATGTGTTCTCTTTTTAAAAAAAGTGTTTTTTTTTTTCATTTTTTATGTATTTCAAATATTAAGTTACTCGTGTTGAATTAAAACCAACCTGAGCTATTATAAATCTCATAAATGTTCATGTAATGCTACTGTTTTCTACAAAAACTCATACAATAAATGTTATTCTCTTGATGAGTGTTAAGAAGTTACTCTTTGGATTGCTGACCAAAGTACAAAATAAATTTTCTGTCTGACCTTATGCAACACAAGATTGAAAAACAAATGGTAGGGATGGGACACTCGATACTGACATTTTGATGCTGTGTCGAGCTTCTGTAGTGTAGATTTTTCTAAACACTGCTGTGGTTAGAAACACCAGGGAAATTATTATGACATTCTAAAGGTTTTCGTGCACTTAACCGCAGTTTTAACAGGTGGTGTATCTGCTGCCATTATCCACTGGGAGGCACCAGGATTCCCATTTTTTTTTGACACTACGGCTTCTATTAATTACACATGCATTTGTAAAAGAAAATACCCCATCTCTAACTATTTTTTTGTGGATTTGGGAGACCAACATAGACAGTCCTATCACATAAGATAAGGTAAACCTTTATTAGTCCCATAAAGACTGGAATCCAAAGGGTAATTTAAAAAATATGGTGTGACGGCCCACTCCACCCTGCCTTCCTTTTGTCCTGTTTGTGTGTTTTGTCTGCAGTCATTAGAGGGGTGGAGTTCCCATTTACAATAAATGAAACTGACATTACCTGGGGCAGTGTTTTTTTAAAAGCCTTCAGAGCTCAGTTGCTGGTGGGCACTGTCCCATGAGACACCCTGTTGGACTTTGGTTGCCTTTAGCAACATAATGCATACACCATTCTTACGCACATACACTCCCCTAAACCACTGACTGTACAGACTACACACCATGGTTGGTGTAAGGTTTCTTTTGTTTTTGTTTTATTTACATAAGATGAAATAGTTTTTGAACACCATTCCTATGCATCTCTGAGGTTTTGTCATGGCCGTGTGGACCGATTTGTGATAATGGTCGTATTTGAATGATTACTGTCATACAGATGAGAGAAAGCGTGAGACAGAGACTGCTGGAATTAACTCTATCAGCAGAGAGAGAGAGCGGTACACTCACTGTAAATTCATTAAAATATTTCATAAAAGCTGCCTCTGCTTCAATGAGAAAGCAAAACAGAACAAGTTTTCAGGTCTGCCTCTACTCTACTTTTTTCTACTTTCAACAGAAAATCAGGTGACTTTATCCTCACTCTAACCCTGAGTCACACACTGTCCTGCCATAAGGAATATATTCACACTGCCAAATGCATGTTTTTCTAGCTTTTATTAATTACAGGTGATCTACTTCTTATGACAGAGGAATTTTTTCTATTCCTTTTTTATTACCACTGATGTTTCTGGTGACAATATCTCAAAACAGCTGTGTAGTTAATACAGTAAACACAGCAGTCTTGTTCAAAGAGGGATCATTTTGCTGAATAACACTGTTATTCTTTACCAACACAGTTTTTCTGTGAAAAAGGTGTGTTCACCCAGAGGCAGGAACCCGTGATCAATGTTGGTCAAGTTACTTGAAAAAAGTAATCAGTAACTAATTACTGATTACTTCCCTAAAAAAGTAATCCAGTTACTTTACTGATTACTTATTTTCAAAAGTAATTAATTACTTAGTTACTTAGTTACTTTTTAAAAACACGATTTACAGCCTGAATAGGTAATAAAGCGATAGATCTTTCAGCCCAATTCTACTTTTTCTGCATAATCCATCATACAAAATGTAATCAAATGGAAAAGTCTCTTTTTAAAATGTGTTTTATTAGTTTTAGTCTTTTAACTTTATGCATCAAGAAAATTTTTTAATTATATGCAACATTCTCTGACTGGAAGAAATTTGTTTAATATTTAAACCTATTTTCTGCACATTCCAGCACATAAAATATTTTTTTTTGTGTTAACACTCAGTCTTTCAAATAGATGCAAGTAAAACACAGCAGAAAATAAATAAAGTCAAAGACTAGCGGTCCTTTTGCTCTATTTTCACCTGTAAAGCAGGAGTAGGATAGGCGGAGGTTTACCCTGGTGAAGGTGTGCCGCAGCGGTCAGTGGAAGAATCCGCGAGTTTCTCTGTGAATTTCCCATTACGTCACAGCGTTCCTACGGGAAAGTAACGGTAATCTAATTACTGTTTTTGCAATAGTAATCCCTTACTTTACTTGTTACTTGGATAAGTCCTATCCATGAATATAAACACAAACAAATGAGTAAAAGAGACAAGAGAGGAGAGAGGAAAACAGAAAAAATCAAAACCTGGAGCAGACAGCCAAGAAGTACTGAGGGACTATAAGTTTGTCAGTTAGTCAGAGTAGTTTTTGGTAATAACATCAATGAATAAAAATAAATGTGGATTGTAGTATTTCTTAGAGAACAGGTTTGCTTGTTTTTATTTATTTTTGTTCCCTGTCTGTTTGTATGAAGATAGTTGAAAAACAAGTTGTTCTCTGGGCTGATGGTCAGTTATTCAGAGAATTTTATTTCATTACAAATAATGTATTTACATCAATGTCATTCCAATCCAGAACCCCAATTTCTAAGTTTCTCATTGGCTTGACAGCATAGCTATCTGTTGGATGAGGCCATCTAAACTTCACCAAGGTTTAGGTTAAAGGTCAGGGCAGATGTTACTCAGGAGAAATTGCTATTCAGTCAAAGTCTTATTGTCTTGGAAAGAAAACTGTTCAGCCTTAGAGTGACAACTACTGGACTAGAGAACCCAATAACAGCACCTGCCACACTGAAATAAATCACTGAGGTGCTTTTTAAACGGTTAACCTCTTAGCATTTCATTTTATATTAGCTAATATGCTGGTAGGTAATGTGCTCTAAGCTAACTTTGCTCAAAGCAATCTCATGTTTCTAAATAAAAATGCAAAAAAAGCAGTTACTCACATCATTTCATATAAGTATAATTTTTGCTGAAATTGTAACTCCACGAATGAAGAAAATTTGGAAAGAAAGTTTACAGTACCTACAAAGCAAACCCAGTGCAATGGTTTCTGTGTGAGAACAGATAGTGAAATTTGAGAATTTAAAGAAAAACAACAACAGAATTTAAAGAAAAACAACAACAAAAACACGTTCTCGTTGTTCCTGTTGTTTGATGATGCCTTCTCCATAAGCGGATGGATCCTGTTTGGATGGCCAGAAAGTGGGGCGGATCTGCTGACCTGAGGACAGATCTGTCCTGGAGTGTGTTGCTTTCTGGATAGTATCTAAGAGTTACTGGGGCTCAAACTCCAGAAAAAATTTAAATTTGAGCCCAAGTCTCGTCAGGCAGTTATCAATATCATTTTTTATTTCTATAGCACATATACTAACATAAAAACAAAACAAAATAAACAAAACAAACATAAAACAAGTCTGATGGGAATCAAACTGAACTTGAATTAAAAGCCAACATAAAAAAGTGAGTTTTAAGACTCAGTTTGAAAGACTGAATGGACTCTGAAGTACAAATATCAACTGGCAAGTTATTCCAGAGTCTAGGCGCTTTATCTGTGAAGGCCCCATCTCTTCTATGCTTCAATCAAGACCTTCAATCTAGACCTAAAAAGCATCTGGCTAGACGATCTCAGTGCTCTTTTGCGGTTGTATGTGTTGAGGAGTTTGCTTAAATAACTGTGCGCTATACCATTTAAAACTTTGAAAGTAAGTAAAAGAAGCCCCACGTCCCCGGTACCGGGGGCAAAAAGGAGGAGATCACGTTTAATCGGTTATAACATGGGGTGAGAAATATAAGTCCAGACATATGTGGTATCCACAGAAACCTCTGAATCTTAGCTAAAATGTCATATAAACCATTTCTACAACCACCAAACACATCGAAAACAAGCCATGATTAAACGAGCAGTTATGTAAATGCGCAGAAGACCGCCAAACAAACAAAACCGAACCGGAAATTCTCCAGACTTCATGTAACCGGCTAAAGATAGGCTTGTTAGCTTCCAGAGCTATCACTGACTCCACACACCAAGTTTCACCACGATCAGACCAAAATTCACTGAATGAGCCGCAAAAGAAGACAAAAACACATAGCGGCGCAAATGTGCTAAGACAGAGATTGGCTTACCGTCCCGATTTCCTCCATTATTTTTTCCGGTAGCCTGTAGCCACATGATTATCAGAAGTTACCACGCCTACCTAGCTGCATCAGAGCTGTTTTCCATCAACAACCTCCATTTTAGACCCACCTACAGACTGGGCAGCCTAATTACATTTGGCCCGCGAAGCCATGCCAAATTACTATTAGAGCTGGCCCACTGGTATTATACAGCTAATGTATATATCGTTTAGTATTAAGCTTTG